TGGAATGTTTGAACATGGCAATAAAGGATAGGTGTAATTGGTGGGTACTTCTTGATCCGACTCAAAAGCTTTAAGTTATAAGGTGAGGTTAACACCCAACTTATATCCATTCACTTTTATATTCGGATCTGATGTGGGACAAGCTCCCACTGTTACATGCTCCCTCACCCAAACTTGCATCGCCTTCGTTACGGCTTGGGTCACCCTATCTACTTGGGGTGTAGACTCGAACACCCTGTGGGTCGGGTGCTTAGCGTGACATGACTGGATCGAGGATTAGGTCTGGCTCTGATACCAACTGTATCAGATAGGTGCTTCGCAATCTGACTTAAAAGCTTAAGTTATTAGGTGGGGCTAATACCTAACTCATATATACTCATTCACTTTTCCATCCGAATTTGATATAGGACAAGATCCCCCTTGTTACACTAGGTTCCCATAGGAAAAGAGGAGGACATCGTTCAACTGACAAAATATGATGAAAAATGGACAGTTTTTTTGTATCTGGAGTGAAATTTAAAAGAGGGCTGTTTTAGACACATTTCTTAGAGATAGAAGAGAAGACTTCATAGCAATAACAACCAGTAGTGGTGAAATTGGATTCCCTTTTGTTTCTGAACTTGCTATACAAAGAAGTCCACCAAAATGGTGTATTTATGAATTGTATAGTTATGAGTTGTCATAAAGTTGTTGGTTGTTCCACCACATAAATGCAAGAGTATCTGAGGTGCAGATCAAAGTAGATAAGATTTCTGTAAAATAGAGAGAGAGGGGATGGTATGGGCAGAGATGGAGTATGAATTTAGTGGCCCCCACCTGCTCCTATCTATCCTATTATCTACAAATAGAGAATTATATGGATATGTTCTATCCATTTGTTTAGAATATTTTATATGTTCCTATCTATTCTCTTCTCTTAGCATCAATGTGTGTGTGGTTTTTTTTTTTTTTTTTTTTTCACAACATTTGCTATACCCTTTGCCTATGCAACTCTCTCTATCTGGTTTTTCAATTTTTCGGTGATATGTTTTCATTCCTTAACGACTATTTTATCTCAACGGCTCTTTTATCACTCAATAGTTTTCTTCACTCAAATGGCTCTTTTATTTTTTTTAAAAAACACACTCTATAACTACTAATTCAACCCTACTAACAATTCTCATCTTCAATATTTCTTTTAACATTCATCTCTATGGATCCTCCACCTCCATTCTTTCGCCCCCATCTTAACCAATCTAATAAATCCGAATTACCACCGCAATCCCATTATAATTTGGATTCTTCAATTTTTTTTCAATTCGAAAATCCATTTCAACCCCGATACTCTTATTTCCTATACCCACCACATCTCCAATTCCAACTTATTTTTAATTCCAACCATCTCAATTCCAACCATCTCAGTTCCAACCTTCTCAATTCCAACCATCTCAATTCTAAACTTCTCAATCCCAACCATCTCAAACCCAACATAATTAAAGGCTTTCAAAACAAAATTAGTTCATTGAATAAGATGAAGCATTATGCAAAGCATGGGTTGACATTGAGGAAGATCTAATAATGAGTTCGAATCAACGAAAAATCACGTATTGGCAACGAATCCATGAAATTTTTACTCAGCAACCAGGGGGCATGACGTCCCGAAATGTAGCAGGTTTGCAAAATCATTTCTCATACATTAAAAAGACTGTTAACAAATTTTCTGGATATTATAAATAGATCCAACATCATACTCGTAGTGGCTCCAACATTGAAGATGCAGTAAGTTTTTTACTTTGTAAATCTTAAAATTTTAAAATTTATTTTAATTGGCACACTAACTAATTTCAATTATTGTTTATTTATTATAGCTCAATGATGCAAGAAATGTATTTAATATGTAGAAAAATAGCCATTAAGTTGGATCATTATTGGAGTATTTTAAAGAATTCGTCAAAATGGAATTCCTTTTTCAACAGCAATGATAAAGGGAAAAACAAAAGAGCAGTGGAGATCGATATGAATGAGACTGAAAATTGGCCAGAAACTATTCTACCTAATTCGTCAATAGTCCTAACCAATCCATCTACTTTGTCAACACCTAGAGTATCAACACCAGGTTCAATAAACCTTAGCGATGACGATTTGCCTGCAATTAGTGTTGAAAGTTTGCATAGCATTATACGATCCCATGGACGAAAAATATCTAAAAAGGGTCATAAAAAAAGCAAAAATGAGATACAACATAACTTATTTCTGGAACAATTTAAAGATTTTACCCATCAAAATGAGTTGATAAATGCCTTGACAGTCAAATCTTAAAAAATGAAATTAAAAGGTACATTTGATTTAGGTTTGGAGCAAGAACGTATAAAAAGAATGGAATTTGAGGCACAAAAGGAAATGAAAAAGTTGGAATTTAAGGCACAAAAAGAAATGAAAAAGTTGGAATTTGAGCAGAAGCAAATTGATTTCGAAATCCAAATGATGTTTACAAATCCAAATGATGCTCCAATAGTAGCAGCAAAAGCATGGATCATTGATCAACAAAATGAAATTTATGCACGTTTCAGTAAAATGGGTAGTTTGTGAAGCGCTATGTAATGTAATTTTCTTTTTTTATCTGTGGGAAGCTAATGTAATTTTTATTTATATATGTAATGGATATTTCTTTAAATAATAATTTCTTTAAATTTCTGAACAAATATAATCGAAACAAATAATTTTAAAAATATATTTTATTCATCAGCAATATGAAAATTACATTTTATTCGATTATAACAAATTTATGCATCTTCATCACCAAATTAATTCCACAATTGTTCCATGAGATCTTTCCTAAGATCAGCATTGTTTGATCTATTACAAATCCTACTTAGATGAGAGGAAATGTGTGCCGCCAACATTGATGGGTTTCGAATGTAATATGGAAGAAAGATTGGGTTATCCGTCGGATGTGTCCATTACGAAATGTATTCGCCCTCGTCTTCAATGATCATATTGTGTAATATGTTGCACATTCTCATTATCTTATTTAGATCTTATTTATTCCAATAAAGCACCAGTTCATGCGTTATAGCCCACCTCATCAACAACAAGCCGAATGCTCGTCCTACATCCTTCCTAATAGCTTCTTATTTGTTAGCAAATAATTTTTCTTTGACAGTTGTTAGGTGTCGAATAGTCTGCATCAAAGTTGCCCACTTAGGACATATACCATCAAATAAATAATATCCTATTGTACGCTGATTCTTATTCACCACGTAATTAATTGGAGGCATTGTACCATTGATCATGCTCTTGAATATTGTGGAACGATCGAAAACATTCAAGTCATTTTGTGAACTAGCCATACCAAAGAAAGCATGCCAGATCCACAAATCTTTTGCTGCAATGACCTCTAATATGAAGGAAGGTTTATGGTTTCTTCCCGTGTGCGTGCCAAGCCATGTTGTGGGGCAGTTCTTTCATTCCCAATGCATACAATTTATAGAGCCAAACATACCTGAAAATCCCCTTTCTACCCCTTCTCGAAGCAGATGGGCAATGTCGTTTGCATTTGGTGAGCGTTGGTACGGCTCTGTATACACATCAATTATAGCATCACAAAACCTCTTCAAGCTTTCGATCGCAATGCGCTCAGAAATCTTTATATATTCGTCACAAAGATCAACTAAAATTCCATATGCGAGTATACGGATTATAGCAGTCATTTCTGTATAGGAGTGAACCCCATACGACTGAGGGCATCGGGTTTTTGGATGAACCATTCGTCATATGTTGTAACACTGTTCAAGATGCAAAGAAACAACCATTGTCGCATCCAAAACCTTTTTACGAAATATGTTTGGTGGATAAATCGGATTTTCAGCAAAGTAATCTCGGAATAGCCGTTATGCTGCCTCCTCTTGATCACGTTTAATATACTTTCTCTTACGGGGTTGAAAGAATGCCTGCACCCTATTAGGCGATAATAATCTCCTCACAGCATTCATCCTTTTTCAATGGATTTCAAAAATATCTTCCCCATCTAAGTCTAACCAATTCAATGGAGAAATAGACTCGGAGACGGGTATATTGTGTGATGATGAAACCATTGTTTTTTTATAAGAAAGATGAAGACTCAAAGAACAGAAAATGGATTTGAGAATCCAAATAAGTGGACTTGATAATTGAAAGAAGATAGAATGAGTGGTTTATATAGAAATTAAAATATAACCGTTGGAAATATAACTATTAGAAATATAACCGTTGCGAAAAAGATAGAAAAATAATTAAATTAAAATTAAAATAATAAATAAATAAATAAATAATGAGATAATTGAATTCCACACCATGGAACATATTGGATAACAAAAAATAAAGTACCACATCATCGCATTTTATTAAAATAAAGCTTGTATGGCAATCTACTTTTAAAAAGTAGATAGATTAAAGGTTTGTAGCAGACTAGATGCTCTAAATGAGTACACTTTGTTACAACATGTAGCAGTAACCAATAGATGTGTATGATTTCTTTGAGGGCTAGTTTGGTAGGTGGGAATGGGAAGCTTTTAATTCTATTCATTTGTTTAGAAAGTAATTTTAAAGATGGAATTCCCATTATCCACCTTTCTCGGAGAAGGGTCAAATCCATCAAAATTATTCCACTTTCCAACAAGAGAAATGGACATTTTATTCCCTACTTAAAAAAATACGGAGTAAAAATAATATTAAAAAACGCTTTATGATTGCTAACACACTTTTCTCAAATAACGAGTTCCAATAAAAGTCATTTTTTTTTATTTCCCTCCTAAATTTTCAAATATACATCGAAAATATATATTTACGCATATATATATATATATATATATCTATATATTTGGTTTACATAGATTATTTTTCTTTTTTTGTAAGCTATGCATAACCAAACGAGAGAATGGAATAGTCATTTCATTCATATTCTATTATCTGGTTCATTCAATTTCTACCTTATTTCTTTCCTTCCTATTAAACTAGCCTGAGTTTTTTTATACAAACTAGAGGTAAATTTGAAATGCTTTTATTTGGTTTTCATTTCAACATGTTTATCCTCACGACCAAAAATAAAATAATATAATAATAATAAAGTGGATCTTTTGTGATTTTTATTTTTTATTTTTTATTATTTATTTTTTATCAACGATCTTTTGTGATTCTCATATATCTACTTTACTATATTATATTTGGCAAGAACAATGCAAACGAAATACTATTTGTTTCTTTAAAATAAAGAAAGAAAAAAAAGTAGCATATAATAAAAGGCTGGTCTGGTCTCTAAACACATCTATACATGAACGACTGGTTTCTCTACTGGTGACTGAAAAATAATAGACATGGCAATGAAGAAACTAGAGGGCAAAGTAGCCATAATCACCGGCGGTGCGAGCGGCATCGGGGAGGAAACGGCGCGTGTATTTGCCGATCACGGCGCACGTGCGGTTGTGATCGCTGACATCCAAGACGAGCAAGGCTACCGTGTGGCTGAGTCCATTGGCCCAAAATGCAGCTACGTCCACTGCGACGTGACCGACGAAGGACAAGTCAAACGTATGGTGGAATCAACGGTCCAGATTCACGGCCAGCTTGACATCATGTTCAGCAATGCGGGCATAGGCGGTGCCTCCGATCAGACCCTTCTCGATCTCGACTTCTCTGAATTTGACCGCATCTTTGCCACGAACGTGCGTGGTATGACCGTGTGCGTGAAGCAGGCGGCGCGTGTTATGATGGAGCGGCGCGTGAGAGGCAGTATTGTGTGTACGGCAAGTGTGGCGGGTAGTAAAGGTGGGAAGACACATACGGATTACTACATGTCCAAGCACGCTGTGATTGGGTTGGTCCGGTCAGCGAGCAGGCAGCTCGGGGAGCACGGAATTAGAGTGAACAGTGTTTCACCGTACACGGTGGCGACGCCTATGTTGTGCAAGACGTACGAGAAGGAGGTGGAAGAGGCGGAGAAGTTTTTTGAGTCGTTTACGAGCTTGAAAGGGATTGTACTGAAAGTGAAACATGTTGCCGATGCTGCGTTGTTCCTTGCCTCCGATGACTCTGCATTCATCTCCGGTCACGACCTCATCGTCGACGGCGGACTGTCCACGGCGGCTTCTTGGTCTTGATCGTCAGCTTTCGTACTCAAGTGGGGCCTGAGAATAATTAAAATAATCTGTTTTTAAATGTGCCTGGTTTAATAAATGAAATGGGTGGTAATTTTAAATTCGATAATAGTTTTTTTTTCACTGGCAATCACCCATTTTGTACTAAGAGAGGTCTTTTTTATGTTTTTGGATGTAATTATTTAGCTATAATTGATTTACCATGTTGGAACCGTAAGCAAACACACACCCTCTTGGCCGGTTCGAAATCCATTTCACCTTGAGGACGGATTTGTATATTTATATTTTTTTATATTTATACTTAAAAAATTTTAAAATTATCCCTACTAAAATTTTGAAAAACATCTCCCAATATAAATTTACCCCCTCATAAAATTTTGGTAATATCTATTAAAAATTGAGATTGCAGAGAATTTCTCTCTTTAGGAATGGTTGTCTATTTGTATTATGAGATTACAGAGATGATTACAGAGCTTACCGCCACTTCACCCATTTTCTCTCTCTAAACGATTGGATGTAAACCATCAAAACAAATAACACCATCCCATCAAGTGATGTGTTTGGAACCCATTCTATACGGCATCACGTCAAGTGATGTATTAAAAATAGGAGAGAAATCATGGGGGTATAGAGAGAGAAAAAAAGCAAGAAAGTTAGAAAATATTAAAGAGAGAGTTGTACAGAGAGAAATAGGGTCTGTATCTTTCAGATGAGAGAGAAATAAATAAACGAGAGAGATGAGAGTGTGTAAATGTTGTGGAGAGAGAAAAAAAATGGTTATTCATAGAGTGAAAAATAAAGGCTTCCAAACATGGTACAACTGTGTAAAATATATAGAAGTTTGTGAGCTGTATCGTGGTCCTTTAAGAAGGACATTTTGGGATTTTAGGAGAATTTTTTTGTCAAAATTGTCCATAAGGGGAAATTTGTTCCAGATGTTAATAATATATGGAGTTATATATACTTTTTTTTTCTAAAATGGGTGTTTCTTGCATATTTTTTTGTATAGAGAGAATTTTTTTTTTGCATTTAACCCATAATTAAATCGTGAGATTCTACATTAAAATATATTTACTTATTCAAAACTATTTAGTAGTAAATGAGAAACTGGATCCGTAGCGAGACATTTAATCATAATTTAAAGTGGTGAAAATGAACATGTCTCACATAGGAATATTTGAGAAAAAATTACGAGAAAAAAGGTTGGGTCCAAACCCATCAATAACCATGCTGCCCGGCCTGACTCGGCTTGGGCTTGGGGTCTTCAAACAAATACATACATTCTTTTTAATAGGCATGGGCTTTTTGTGACCCATCAATTGGCTGTTAAATGATTAAATCCGAATTGGAGGTTAAAATCTGAATGGGTAAAAAGGGGTGTGAATCACCTGCAGTGAGGCTCCCATATAGTTTCCAGCTGTAATTTTTAAGTGGTCCATATTTAGCCACATCATTCTTCAGTTAATGTACACTAAGGCTGTGTTTGGCCAATTACACTACCATTTATAAGTAACATTTCACTACCATTTATAAGTAACATCACATAATCTAAAAAGTAATGTCACATATAAACATAACTCAATTCAACATATTATTTATGTTATTAATTAAAATTAAAAGTGGTGATGTTTCCTTTTATAAATGGTGATATTACTTTTTAGACTCTGTGATGTTACTTATGAATGGTGGTGAAATGTAAAAATAGTCTAAAAAGTAACATCACCACCATTTATAAGTAATATCACAAAAGTCTAAAAGTAATATCACATAATTTAAAAAGTAACATCACCACGTTTTGAGGGTGAAAGATACTTATAAATGGCGGTGATGTTACTTTTTAGACTATGTGATATTACTTTTAGACTTCTGTGACGTTACTTAAAAATGATGGTGAAATATTACTTATAAATAGTGGTGCAATTGCCAAACACATTGTTAGTGTCTATTAAGTAGAGTAAAACGTGGCCAAACCAAGACCACTTACTGCTCACTATAGGAAACAGCATGTGCACTGCAGGTGATTCGCGCCCGGGTAAAAAGTGTTGTCAGGTTCGGCCGAAAGGTTGCCCCTATGGCAGTTCGGTTGCCATTTTACCCCTCACTTGTTATTACTACTTAAATTGCACTCTATTGTTTCAAGTACCAATTTTATCCTTAATTAATTAGACATTTATACCCCTCACTTGTTATTACTTAAATATTTGAATTTTTTCTTAATTAATTGGATCTTTATACCCATCATATGTTACTACATAGGGATAATTTCAAAAAAAATTAGAGTTTTGAAGGTAAAAGGTCAAAAAGAAGGAGTCAAACTTCAGTTTTCTAAATAAATGGAGTTTTATGAAAGGCTGACGTGGACATGGAAATTTTTTGCGAAATGACCCAAATGCCCTTTCTCTCTCTTTATCACTTCAAGGATTGACGGCTCCTTGCTTCCCATTGACAAAGCCAAAGAAGAGAACTTCGGAAGTCTTCGCACGCTTGTCGTCAACTGTTCATCCTTGCCCATCACCGGAATCGCGACCCTCCTCGTCGCTGTCCACCGCCTCAAATCATCGCTGCTACCATCATCTTTATCCTCGCCAGGTAGTTTCATCCTTGCCCATCGCCGCTCCTCCATTTCTTCGCCACTGGCCCATTTATCTCTCGATCCTCGTCATCGGCAAACCTACCATCCTTCATCACCGACATGGGAGCAACATCCTCCCCAATTTGGCGATTTCTCGATTTCTCGCCACTATCCTTGTGCAAATAATACTCAACAAATTAAGTAGTGTCCTCCAATTTCGTCTTAAGTTTGTTTATATAAATTTATAATACAGTAGTATTTTAAAATTAAACTTACATGTGATGGCAATGAATGTATCAAAAATGTTCTGATGCATACTTGAAATGATAAAGAGATAAAGAGAGATAAATGACAAGTGCTATTACATTAGCTCTTCTTCATTTTATTCACACCCAGTTAAAGCCGACCTCCTCTGGATTATTGGATCAATAAATCCTAAAGTCATAGAAGAGAATAAACAATTCAACAAATTAAATCTTCAAATCTTGTCTTCAAATTGAACTTTAGAAAGCCAACTCTATTCTTTGACTTACCTTCGGCCGTGTCAATGGCAAGGTAAAGGCGTCCTGAAATGAAAAAGAGATGAAGAGAGAGAAATGACAGATGGGTACTTGAGTCATTTCACAACAAATTTTCATGTTCACGTCATCCTTTCATAAAATTCTATTTATTTGGAAAATTGAAGTTTGACTTCATCTTTTTGGCCTTTTTCCCTCCAAAACTTCATTTTTTTAGAATTATCCCTATTACATAAACATTTGAATTTCCCTCCATAAAAATCATGCCTTCTCTCTAGGTTTTTATCTCTCTCTCACATTTCCCTGGGTTTAACTATTTAAGGTAATTATTTTGTTTTAACTTGTGCTAGCTAGCTCATTTGTACTTTTGGTCACCATTGAGAACTATGTAGTAGTGAAATAACTGTTTTTGAAAGCTTGTTGCCTATATTTGTAAATTCAATAAAACATATTCAGACAAAATTACTAAAATAAAGCCATTCACATCCTAAGCCACACAAAGCGGGAGCGAGTGCGGGAGTAGGAGTGAAAGCGTCAAAGTCTAATTTTTTTTAAAGTAGGAGAGTTTAAATAAAATTATATGAGGTCATGACATATATATTTTATATTTTTTTTATTTATTTAAATCCATATGCAAATATATTCATGATTATTTATTCCATTAATGATATATGTAATAAATAAGTTAGCAATGCCATACAGCCTGGGCACATGTGAAATTTAAGTAATTAATGTATATATTGAGTAATGGTGTAAGTAATAAATACATATATGGTAATATAGGTGTTCTATATCAGTGGGACTCTAACAAATTTAGCTATATAAAGTAAATTTGTATGGAAATCGCGAATTAGGAAAACAAATTCGCGAATTGCAAAAATTGAATTCATAGATTTTGTGCGAATTCGCTCCCAAATCGCAAATTCACATGCGGAGCTTGAGAGCATGGCCTCTTTAGCCGAATTATGTGACTAAGCTCATATCACAATGTATAAGGGTGAGCAAATAATCGATCAATCCGTCAATCCGGTCCGAACCAATCTGATCCGTGTGGTTTGGTTCGGTTTTCATATCTCATGGTTTGGTGATGATTTGAAAAATTTACAATCCGGTGTTCGCGGTTCAGTTAACGGATTGGCCCTTGAAAAAACCTAACCGAACCGTTAACCGATCTGAATCAAACTGTTGCCAATCCGAACCGTTAGTCAATCCGAACCGAATCGTGAATAATATTATACATATATATATCCAATATTGAATATACCAGTATACTTATTGCCTTATTTTTATTTTTTATTTTTTTTAATTCATTATTCTAACCCTAGTTCCCAAATAACTCACTACTCTGATCTGGCATCTCATTTCACTAGCCGCGCCTCTCTCGCCTCTTCTATCCACCCTCTTCTCTCTTCACCCTCTTCTTTAGACGTTATCTTTGCCTCTGTGATAGTCTTAACTCTTCACTCTTCACTCTTCACTCTTCACTCTTCACCTCTGTTTTTGTTCACTCTTCGCCTCCCAATGTCTCGCCTCTCAATCCATCACCTCTCAATCCATCATTCACCATATTTGAAGCAACGACGACCTCTTCAAGCAGATCTACCTCTTTTCGGGTGAGTTCACAAAATTTTTGCATGGATCTTCTTATTCTCCTCTTCTCTGAACATTTTTTGTAAATAACATCAATGTTTTTTGTTAATCACCATAACACCGTGATGGATCTTCTTATTCTGGAAGATGACGCCGCCGATGGCCATCCCGTGGCTGAACTGTAACTGTGTGGCTTCGGGCTCCACTGTGTACGCCATCATGAAGGGCTCCATTGCCCTAACCCTTCCCAAGATGTAAAGTTAAAGTTTTTCATTGGAAAATAGACCCATATGAAACTCTATTTCGGATTGAGGAGGTGTTTTGCCTTTTCTGAAATTTTGATTCTTTGTGTTTTTTTTCTTTTAGGGTTTCCTTACTGCCATGGACTTTTCTTTTTCCTTGTAAATAATCATTGATTTTGTATTCATATTTTTTTTAAAAAAAATGAATAAGATTGACAAAGTCCAACCAGCCGAATTTGCAGAAACCGATCCGATCCGATCCGATCCGTTACTTCACAGATCGGTTTGGTTCAGATTGAA